ATAATGATTCTCAATTCCTTTTTGCGATACTTGCATTATAGCATAGCCAAATGATTGACACACAATCCATTAATACTGGAATATGCTACGGATAAGAAAATAACCTTGTTTAAACTAGTAATACACCTTTCAAGATATTAATTTAAGATTATTTTTTGGCGCGTTCATTATGGACCAACCTGTATAAATGTTTCTCGGTTCTTCGACCTTCCATGGTAAGGTGGTTTTTTTGTTCCTTGTTGTCTCCATTTTTTTTTGTCTTTGCCTATCTGAATCTCACGTATGTATGAGAATATATGTGTGGTTGTACTCCGACTTCGTGTTTCTAGTCAGTGAGACTACAGAAAGGTGAGAAGCTAATGTGATATACTATTATAAAATGAAACATTGTACATTTTATATTAAAAGTAGAATTTGTTGCTGCAAATAAGCAACAGGAACATTTTTTCTGAGCAAGCTACATTCTTTCAAAAACATGAACAAAAATGTCTAACTATTACCTGATTTTCACTGGTATTTTGGAAGAACTATTGGTGTCTATTCTATAAAATAGGCAATTGTTGGTCAGTTATAAGAACAAATATCTTCACGCCCCTAAAAGCGTATTGTCTTTTAAAGGGGAAGTGGCAACTGCCTTCCTGGTTTCCCTTAGCGATGTCTATGTAGCTGTATACCATTGTTAAGGACTTGTATGTTGTTTTTTGAATTTCGCAGAATGTTGGAATTTTATTTGGCAACCGCGCCAAACGTTCAATATTTGCAAAGAAAAATAAGCTAACAAGCTTATTAACATGGTCCTTCGTCGCCAAATGAAGTTTTGAACCAGAGGAGAAAAGCAGGGTAGAACGAGAAATTGTCGGGAGCATCGCGTCGCAGGAAGAGGTTACAACGAGGAAGGCGCCTGCCGCCATTTGCAGAAAAGCAGTTTGGATAGCACAGCTCAGGCAATTTTCGCCCTGGAAGAAGCAGAAGACGTGCAGTCGTCAGGAAAACAAGGTCAGATAAAAACAAGGCATATCTGAAAAGAGACTATAGTGGGCAATTCCCTTTTTACCTTCATCTACTACTCATCGCTTTTGGGAAAGAAAAATAAGCTAACAAGCTTATTAACAACCATCAAAGAAGCAAAGAAGAAGCAGTCGTTGTTACAAGGGAAGCAGCAATGGATGGAATAGAAGTCATATAAGGGCATAGGAAGAAAATTGGAGTTCAGTATAGCCTCAGAACCAGTATCCAAATCAAGTCATTCAGCTTGGGTGAGTCTATGTGCCTATCTCTATATCCATGTAGATATTGTTGCCGGAACACCTTTACATTTTATATATTTGCTTCCAAAGATATCCAGATATCGACAACTTTTGCCAAAAATTGGAAAAGACTCCAATTTTTGACATATTAGTTTAACATTACGTAAAATTGAAAATATAGATATAGATACTTCGCATCCCTTTTAGTTTCATTGCCAAAATCGTGATTTCTTGGCCGGCAAACGAAGAAGTTTTTTCCAGTTCAAATGAAAATAAACGAGGGCGTTAAAAAATTGGGGATTTATCTCTAAAAACAAAAATAGTTATACACTTTTAAAGTTGCGTCCCATAGAAATATTTTCTTTCCATCTAAACTGGGTGTGTGTACGTACAGCGACAATACGTGGAAAGATACTGTGGTTATTATGGCCTAAATAAGAATAAATTATGGTTAAAAATAAACTAAAAAATGCTAATCGAACTAAAAAATATAAAATAAAAATAAAAAAATTAATTATGGTAAAAAGCGAGGAATTATTATGAAAATATGAATCCAATTTTTTTTTAACTCCAAAGCTCAGGTTTTTTGAAAATTTTCAAATGGTATTTTTTCCAAGATTTTTATATTTGTTGAAATTTCACACAGGTCAAGCTTATAAAAGCGTGTTAAAAAAGCAAAAAGGATGTTATAAACACTGAATTTTCTAAAATTTATGAGCCCGATGATCAAAACATTTTCATCACGTATCTTCAGATGAAAACAGCAGAAATATCCGTGATTTATGAAGAATTTTTTGATTTAATATGGGAATTAGAGGATCTTCTTACATCAAAGTATACTAAGTGACATATAAATCCGAACACCCAGTTTAAATGGTTTTATTTTAATAAGTACTTAATGAAGCATAATAAGTAAATGATAAAAATTTCAAAATGATTGCACTGCTTTAAAGCCCTTTGACCTTTAATAATGTGTGGATGCACCCTGATGTGCTACGCATTCTCCAACGCTCCTAGGCATGCTTCTGATCAGGTGGTCAATGTCCTCCTGTGGTATCTCATTCCAGGCAACCACCAACTCCTCTCGAAGTGCTTCTAGAGTCTGAGGAGGACGTTGCAAATTGAGCAATCTCCTACCCATCATATCCCACACGTGCTCAATTGGGGATAAGTCGGGAGATCTTGGTGGCCATGGTAACAATGTGACATCATTATGTTGAAAGAAGTCTATTGTGACTCTTGCAACATGTGGTCGGGCATTATCTTGTTGGAAAGTTGGATCTGCCAGGGTGTCAAGATAGGGTAAAAGATGGGGTTCTAGAACTTCGTGGATATAACGCTGCGTGTTCATGTTACCTCTGATGAAGATTAAAGGTGACCTGGAACCATAAGCTATAGCACCCCAAACCATAACTCCAGCAGTGTGATGAACATGTCTTTCAACAAAAAACTGTGGATTCCTCTTTCACCACGTCGCCTTCTAACCCTGGCACGACCATCGTGCATGCTTAAACAAAATCGAGACTCGTCACTAAAGACAATACTGTTCCATTCCTGAGCCCGGAGTGACCGTTGTCTGCACCACTCAAGGCGATTACGTCGGTGTTCTCGAGTTAAAGGGAGGACCCAGTGTGGCCGGTATGAAAACAAGCCAAAACTTCTCATTCGTCGGTAAACACTTCGCATGCCAATAGGTCTTCCGTGTTCTGCAAACCATTCATTTGCAATGGACCTGGTAGTGGAGATGACCAATAATCTTAGGCGGCGATCTTCACGGTCTGTTATTATACGGCGGCGTCCAGTGCCCCTTGCTCTTTGCGTACGGCCTTCTCGAAGCCATGCCTGACAACATCTAACCACAGTGTCTACACTTCTTTGCACTCTAACTGCAATTGCCCGAAAAGAAAGTCCAGCTTCCCGAAGTCCCACTATACGGCCCCTATCAAACTCACTAAGTTGACGAAATCGTACAGGTCTCAGTACTCTAGGCATCGTAACCGATCGTAAAGGATGTCAAGAACCAAAATCCGCCAACGTTGATTCTTTACTGCGGCTGAAATATTCATTTTTAGAGCGCGAGTGAATTAAAAAAAAAGCAGTATAAAAACCGGAATGTCCAACTGATAAGGCTGAACATTTTTTCACTTGTTATTTACAGTAAGATAAATACATTCACCAACTTTTATTAAAATAAAACCATTTAAACTGGGTGTTCGGATTTATATGTCACTTAGTATATAATGTTTCGCTAGTTTGAGAGCTATTTTAGAAGAAATAGACTATATTCTAAAACTCCTATTTGCTTGCAATCCCCTGGAGCAAATTTTGATCCCTCGGGTCAATATAGACGTTTTTTGAGGATTGAGTGCCGTCCACGAAAATTCTGTTCTGTTCATCTAATCCCCATATTACATCAAAAACTGCTTTGCAAGATGGAACTTTCTGCTGTTTTCAAGCGAATATACGTCAAAAGATATTTATTGCTTCAATTTGGAGCAAGACGGTATTTACAGCAACTTTTTGTTTTATAATTTCGCCACAAAACCATGCAGGATTTTTGTTTTTAGAGATAGATTGATAATTTTTTCACTGGTCGATTATATTTTATCCACAGTTTGTTGGTATGCTACTATTTAATTGATTCTGCATATCGTGAAACTCCTTTATTGACATAAATCGGAAAATCCGTATATTTTCACCGCGTTTATCAATTAGAAAATAAATGGCTAGTAATAATAATTACCGTCTTTTATTTGTAATATTCTTACAGGAGGCGAGATTTAGATAATATATCGATTCTACCATCTAACCCCCTTAACAATACGAGATATACAAAATTAATACCTGTATACAATAACGACAGAATAAAGTATAATCTAAGTCAGAGTTCCCCAAACTTTTTTGTGTCGTAGACCGCTTGCCATGTTTTTCCGTGTTGAGTAGACCCCCTACTTACCTGATATTGATTCTCTGTAAATTTCTAACTGTAGTGAAGTTTAGTGTTAAAAACTTAAAGTAAAAACACATGTTAATTTATACATTTATTAATTGAATTTAAATTAAAACTACTCAAAATAAAATTTTGTATCTGTTATGTAAAATATACGTAACATTAAATAAACAGGTGTCTGACCAATAAGTGCCCGCATTGGGAATAAGTGCCCACATTGAAGAAAAAAATAAGAGGGATGAAATAAAAAAAAGTGAAAAATAATAAAAAAAAAAGTTTTTTACTTAAAATAGTACAATAAGCGAGTTCGTTTATTAATTATAACATAAACGTATGTTCTACAATAATTTAACTGATAGTTTGATTAAATTCCGCTTCGTATGCGTTTAAGTTATCTAAAAATAGGCAAAAAATTAACGAATTTTAGTGTGTACCTATCCTTGAATTTTCAGAATAATTAAAAAAAAATATATTTTCTATAAAGAGGGGTTCTTTAAAAAAATCAATGCAGGCACCAATAAACATAAAATAAACTATAAATAAAATAACATAAGCAATAAGTCAATATTTTTCGTGAGAAGGATGAACCTGATGCTTTAATAATAAATTATCAACATTTGGCGTCAATTTTGTAAGGGTTAATCTTAAATCTCCTCGGCTAATGATGTCCAGTCTGTTTCTTTTTTTCGTTAGGAGATTGGTAACAGCGCTGAACCCCCTTTCCACTAGGTATGACGATGAAAAGGAAATTAAAAATTTCCTCGCTATATTCCATAATACGGGATAAGTTACGGGTATGTTGTTTAGCAGCCAGAATTGCTGCCGTTTTTAAACTGGACCTTAAGTTCTTCGTTTGTACTTAGTTCAGTCAGTTCCTCTTGTATTATGACATTCGTTTCTTCTATGTCACCATATGGATTAATTATCCACGGTGGTATTACCATAGTCAAAATATCCTCAAACCTAGATTCAAAATCTGAATAGACGGCATTCAAATGTTGAACGTAAGTTGAAACGTCGTCTTCCTGGCAGCTTGTCTGTGACAAATTGGGGAACTGAGAAAATTCGCCCCGTCCAATATTTTGCTTCATTAGTTTAACTCTGGCAAGAAACGCTGATAAGATGGACTTTGTTTTAATCAAATTTAAACTGTCGCCTTGTAATTGCAAATTAACCATATTAAATTTTGTAAACAAATCTGTTAAATAGGCGATGTCTGTTTTCCTCTTCATTAAATTTTCTTTTAACATTTTATCTTTAGTATCCAGAAATTCTAAAATAGTCTCAAACAGTGCATAAAATCTTGTGAAACCTTTCGACAGCCAGCGTACTTCAGTGTGAAGGAGTAATTGATGAAAGTCATTTTCTTCACACAACTGGGCAAATATAATGACTAAATGAAGTGATTCATGCAATCTAACACTCAAAATTTTAGCAACTAGTTTTAAATAGCTTATAAATCCACGATAACGTCCAACCATGGCAGGTGGTCCATCTGTAGATACTGATATTATATTTGATAAAGGAATTGCTTTTTCAATGAAGTAATCCTTCAAAACATGAAATATTGATTCACCTTTAGTGTCGGTTATCAAAGTTCTTGCGAAGAGCAGTTCTTCGTAGATTTCTTGATTCATAATAAAACGAACATATGCCAATAATAATGCTGCATTATCAGGTAAAGTTGACTCGTCCAGTTGTATAGAGAAATGGGTCGTTTGCAAATAATTACATAGAAAGCTTTCAATATCAGAACTCATTTCATCAATACGTCTTTCAACAGAATTGTTGCTTAAGGGAATTCTTTTAATGATATCAGATGCAGGTTTGTGTAAAACAGTTTTTAAAACCTCTTCAAGGGCTGGCAAAATTAACTTCTCTCCGATAGTACGCGGTTTTCCGGATTTTGCTATAAGTAACGAGATATTGTGAGACGCCCGCAAACCATCATCATTTCTTTGTGACGTCGAAGCGTACATTCTGTCCAGTGTAGGTCTCTTCTGAAATTTATCTTTGAGTGTTTGAAAGTATTTCAAATCTTTCTGTTTTATCAGGGTGGCATCTTCTCAGATGATCTTGCAGTTTAGATGGTTTCATAGCGTCATTGCCCAAAACTTTGTTGCATAAAAGGCACGTAGGCGATTGTTTGTCCGGCAATGATGGAATGAAGCCAAATTTCAAATAATCAACACTGTACTGTGTACATTTCTTTTTAGATTCGGACATGGCATCAGTCATCTGTGGGCAAAATTAAATTATTTAAATAAGACAGAAAATCCAGCAGCTGTATATTAAAAATATTTTTTGATTTTTCCGAAAACATTCCATAATTCATGCAATGTTCTTGCAACAATTAGCTCGAATTACGGAGATTGCACTGTAATTATATTACCGATTGCTAAAACTTTCAAAAAGAAACTATTGAGGATTACTCGTGTAATTTTGCATGATTGAATATTTAACTACTAATAACTAAAGTCATGATTGGCGTAATTTATCTATCTTTGCTAACTACGAGTACAAAACTAAAATTTAATAAAAAATAATGTACTTACTTTTCTGCAGCACTCTTAAACAAAATAACACTGACTCATTATAATTTGTGTGATATACTATCTGTTATATTTTTTAAAATATTTTCTTAGCACTTTCCTTTGCAAGATTCAGGAAACGAATAAACGTATTTGTCCCACATTCGTATTTATAGAGTGACGAATTGGACAAGGCAGTGCAAGGTAGCGAAGCTCTGAGACTGCGACTCTCAGGTTTTTACAAGTTCAAAATGTATTGCGACCACAAAGCGAATACCAACATCCTACAACTTACACAATTTTATAAATATATATAATAATTTTTTTACTTCATAGGTACTTTTATAAATAATGTATATGTTTAGATATTATAAGATAGTATGATGTAAGTAAATAGGTACTATCAGTGTATGTGTTGAGATCCACTATCGTGGACCCCCATATTCATTTCATGGACCCCCAATTTTTTTTCGCTGACGTAGACCCCTTGCAGGTTGTCATAGACCCCTAGGGATCGATATAGACCACTTTGGGAATCAATGATCTAAGTAAAGGCATAAGGAAAATATGAGGCCATTTATGGGTTACAACATAATTCGCTGTTGATCAAGTAGAACTTCTTTCACTTTTTTCTTGAATTTGGATAATGGATTGGTTTTTTTAACTGCGGCCTAAAGAATGATATGATTTGATTCAAGAGACAATCACCAACACTTTTTTCTCGAAAGGATCTGTCCGAATATGTGAAACAATATGAGGGTGAAAAATATATGCAAATAGTTCGATACTAGTTGCTTCAGGGCTATTTAACGAAAGCCGTTTTCCATATTGGTTATTTTCCAAAGCGTCCGGTGTCCGCTAAGCACGCATTCAGAATTTCAACCCTCTATCAATCCCGCGATGATTTATACTGTTGGCGCAGTAAAACAACGTCTTCATAATGGATCCCAGTAGACATTCAGATAAAATATCTGCTGAAAATGGTCTCGAAATGTTCACTTAGGTACTTTCTGGCGCCCACAGATTCCCGATAAATGCATAGCTCTATAAATTTCCTCCTAAGTGCTTTTGCACCGAATATTTTCATACTCATGCCGTTTATCTGATTCGAATTTTAGGGTGAGGGTATAATTGTTGTTTTACGTGTCTGCGGCCAGCTCTTAGCATTCGTACCATTTCAGAAAAATGCAGACCAAACTTTGAATATAAGTACTGTTTTAGGTGGTACATACTCGTAGACTTAGGTACAGTCCGGTTATTCGAGATTTCTTTGCATCTAATGGGAAAAATATCCTGATTTGATTTTTTTGCATAAGTTTATTCAAGAAGCGCTCCTTTTAACAAATCTACGTTTGGCCTGCGTCAACAATTTTTTAAACAAAATTCAAGGCAAACCATTGATCGCATGCTCGATTAATTATTAAAAAATAAAAGGCATAAAATAACAATACCGCCTTAAATGCTTTGGGATTTTGTTGACGGATGTTTGAACAATATTGAGGAACATTGGCAGGATTAAAATTTTGGTTTTACCATACTGTTTTTCGAGGTTAAAGATGACATATTTCGTACTTTTTCAAATATAGCATCACTTATACAATGTGTTTGGTCACGTCATACCGATATTTAAGCGAGGTATTTTTCAGCTATTTTTATCGACAAATCCACCCCCCTACAATGTCCTACCTCACCCCCCTTGAAATGGCAGCCATTTTTATTTTTACGTTACGATTACGCTAGTGTGTGTATGAAAACTGTAATAACTAAGAACATGAGTCACATAATGATAAATTCGGTGTCATTTGAACGATAACATGTTGCTCTAGCGATTATTGAAAAACTTGTATTGATAATAACCGTCAAACATACTTAAAAACAGAAGAAAATAAGCAAGAAAATTGATTATTTGATATAATTATGTTTGTTCCAGGAAGAGGATCGGTAGAGAGATGGCAGAACTGCTGCTTAATTATCTTCGCCGTGCACACCTTTGGACGCAAACAATAATTTGGATCAAGAAAAAGCGTGCCAAGAAGAAGATTCCGGTGCAGCAGGTCATCATTCCATAAATTACGGTAAAACTTCGGGAATAGGCATCGCAAATTACAGTTAACAGCGTGTAGCTGAAAAATAGGTAAGGTCTGACAGGACGATTACATCTACTTTGAGAAGCAATGAAAATACAGAAACACCTAACATTGTCCTCTTTATTTTGCCTCAAAAACCAGTGAATACATTTAAGCACAATGATATAAACAATTCCTAGAATTGCAGCACTGACATAATGGATGTTTGACGAATATTTGTGAATTTTGAGTATCAAATTTTGAACTTTTCCAAAAATTATATCACTCTCGAAAACTATCAACTTTAGAGAATAGTTCATACGAACCTTTTTGTTCAGTGACCTAAACCTTGAAACAACTTTGCAAAAAAAAAACAATTTTTGGAATCTGCTCAAAAAACTAATTTTTGACGCAATAAAAAATATGCAGCGGTCCTTGCTGAACAAGATTATGCAAAAAACAAATCAGAAGATTCTTCCTGAACTACAATAAAGCCTTTTCTCTCTGAAGGTTTCAGCAACACCGCAGACTATCCACCAAGCTTATATTCCTGATATTGAAGTAATTATCCCTAGTTAGACTGAAGTTTGAACTCTCGATAGTATCAGAGGTTATGAGTAGTGGACTAACGACTATACGGTGGAAGCTAGACAGGGTGTTCTGATTTTCCTTTCGAATAACAGCTACGTTTGAAATAACAGGCAGAAAGTAAGAAAAAAATTACTTACCGGTCATCGAAAAGAAATTTCAATTGCTAAATTCACACAGTAATTGGTCAACCATACTTCAGTTTCATACACTAATTTCATTGCAACCCAAAAAAGGAAATCACAATCACGAAGGATGTTGAAAAACGATCTGCATGCACTCGAGAAGCCTCGGGTAGCATTTTGAAGACACTCAGTGTAAATTAAAATAATATCTACAACTCCCATGTTGCTGTTTGGGTTATTTATTGAATCTGTATCTCTTGCTTTTGTTTAAAGTCTTCATCTAATTCCAATTATTACCATGTATATGAGGAATGCTGTTTGTGTGTGTGGAAGCTTATGCCAGAAACAGATGTACTGAAGGAGCCAAACTAGGCGCGGTTCCAAGATCATGTTTTGGAGGGAAAACAGTGCGAGTTGCCTGCCTCTAGAGGGTATTGTCAAATCGTTTGCGCTTACTCTAAAGGGAAATAGTAACCAGCACAGAATGCATTTTATTTTAACGTAGGTTCTCGAATAAAAAGCAATGTGGTCTCTCCTTCTTTCCCTTTTCCTCATTTCTTCCTGCAAGTATAAGGCCTTACGGGGAGGGGCAATTGCATCGTTCCCCCCTGGATCCATGCTTGTAGCCAATGCGTGTTGCGTGATGCGAAACGAGAATATTTTATTAGTCAGTACCAGGATGTATTGAAAACTGATCCCATGGCCAAGGTCATGGACATGATTGAACATAAAGTGTCTTGCTCTTTTCATTTCAGGAGTCTAAAATAGGGGTATTCCCTTGATAAAACTGTACTGACCTTCGAATGACTCTGAAGGTCATAGACAAGGTCACCATCAAGATTACGATTTTTATTATTACACAATAATTTTCTTTATGAAACGCAATTTTTGTCCTCTCCCTACTTTCTGGACACCTCAAATACCCTTTAGAATCATGGTCAAGGTCGTCAGAAGAGACATACTTTAACGTAAAATTTCCGTCTATTATCCGTTATCAAAAATAGGGGTTTCATTAGAAAAACTGACTTGATCTTCAAATGATCTTGAAGGTCGTAGTCAAGGTCATGTTTAACATTATCAAATGGGCTGAACTGAAATGAAAACAGGTATAAAACCTACCAAGTTTATGTTTGTTTCAATTATTTAGCTGTCGTTCCTCTGTTAAATCCCCTATTACCTCTACCGTGGTCCTCTATTGTGTAAAGTCGCCTTGATAGACCCCTTGGCGTGAAGTGTGTCTCTACCCCTCGTTCTTTTATTGAGTTTCTTAGGTTAACAACCAAGGCCAACTTGGATGATACAGTATCAAGTATCTGACATTTTAAGTATGTTTAATTGCATCATAAGGATCCGTACTTGGACAATTGTTATTCTTGTTATACCTGATGACACTACTCTTCTTCCAACTCACCAGATCTAAGAAAACCTAGACAATGAATCATCAGCACGCAGTGGGGATATTCAAAACTGGTTTGTTATTAACCGGCTGACCTTAGATGAAAACAAAACACAGACAATGAGTGTTTCTCTGCGGAATTATGACACAAATTATGACAACACAAGAGCAGTAAAGGTTCTCGGGGTGTATGTTGAATCTTTGACAAAAGCTATTTATCTGAGATATTCAGGGTCTCAGAAGACACTGCCCATCAGTTATCTTGCATACTTC